GTAGCGCAACTCTCTTAGCTTGTTTCAACAGTCACAAAAAGTTAGTCGCTTCTCGATTGAACAGTTTTGCTGCAGCGTAGATTGAACTAGAATTATATGTTAACCAATCGGTGATTTTCGAGACTCGTGAAGTGATGTGAATTCGTTAGTTCACCCTGCTCAAACTTGACTCAGTTTTTCATCGATCAACAACACACTCATTACATCAAGAATTTTGGAACCATTTACGACTCCAAATTTACGCACTAGTGAGCAGTTCCCACCAACTATCACTATGTCGCATACCACCAAATTTGAAGTTATTTCTTTCTAGATTTTAGGATCTATGATTAACAGATTCAAATTAACTCCACCTCTAACGCACTCCTTATTATGAGCGATTTGTCGTATCGAGATGATTAAAGAAATTTGTTACGACCCGAAATGGAAATCGATAAAAGATTTGGAAAACTTTTTTTTTTTTTGGACAACAATGATTTCATTAACTAAAATTTGAAGATACATAGTGAGAAGAGGAAATCATTCTCCTTGATTGGTACAATACAACAAATTAAAATAGATAAAGATAGTTCTTCATAGAAGATCGACAACGGATTTGAGACAAAGCTCCAATGCGTCGATATGACATTCATGGCATAGCCGGAGTGTTAAAATTTGGTCACTCGAAGTTGTGACGTTGAAAACCAATCCTCATCTCCGGACCGCATTGATGCGACACCGGTTGCTTCTTCGGCTCCGTGAAGACCGCTACACAAGAAGACAAGGCGAAGAGTATGTTGGAAATTATGCTCGGTATTCCAACTGAACAAATACCACCTTTCAAAGAAAGGGGATATGGTGAAAGAGTTCTTTCCTCATAAAAGGAAGAAGGTGGAAGTGATCCATTCCCGAGAGGGAAGAAAGGTGATAAATGTCTCTTCATGCCCGAGATGAAGGAAGTTTGAATAGAGGCAATAGACCTCAACGGACTGAGCAATGAAAGGCTCCCTTGGTGCCATAACCCCAAACCAAGAGAAACTGTTACCTTCTCGGCATAAGAGCAACGAGAATTAACAACAGTTGTGGGCCTTGGAGGAATAGAGTTTGGGCCTGTAGAGTAAAATGCTGACAATGTTGGAACATGATAAATATAACGGGCCAGGCCCATAAGTTTATAATACCCTGTGAGGAAGGCTATGGTTGTGGTGAGTCCATCTCCGGCGAGCCATATGACACAGATCTCGACCAAGGCAGTGATGGAAGAAATCGAAGTTTGTATTAGAACATAGTGAGGGGGAAGTGGTCTCTCCAGGCTCGATGTGGAGGAAAAGGACTTTAATGAGCGCAGTAACAGTATGCCTAAATCGGCAAAAGGGACACGCCTTAGAGCGAGAGTCATGTAGGGATTCAGCGATGGAGACATGTTTGTCGTCGATGACACAACTGATGAGAAGCTCTGAATTAATGAAATGACGCACGACAATGGAGATGGTAATGGTAAGTCCGGCAGATCCGGTGGATCCGGCGGTTCTGGAGACATCAGAGGTTGAAGAGGAAGCGACGGTGTCGAATCTGGCCTAGGCGAGCAAATCTTCGGTAGATCTGACGGCTCCGACATAGGAACAGCCACCGAGAGGAGAGGAAGTTTCATCAGAGCCATGGCCGGCGATTTGAACTCGGTTGGAGAAGGTGAGAAGTTCTCGACGAAAATTCAGAACCAACGGAGAGAGGACGATGATGAGCTGCTTCAGAGGTGGAGGTCTCCGGTCTGGTGGTAGAGGCTGGTGGGAGAAAGACGATGGCGGTTGTGCATCTTCTTAGGGCGAACCCTTCATTTGAATAAAATGTTTTTGTCTAATAGATTTGGAAAACAAACCCCAAATTCGGCAAGGCTGAACTAGAATTCGTTAACCATTTATGATTCCAAATTTACGCACTAGTTCTTTTCACTACAAAAATTTGCGCAAGGGAACTGTAGTATTTCCATGAATCGACTATGTTTAGGTTTGATCCTTCAACTGAGTACGTAGTTAATTTGATAACGCGTCCAGTACAAAAGTGACTGAAAGACTAATAGTCCAAACTAGCTCATGATGCATAAAAATCCAATTTAAAGCTAAATTTATTTTGTGAAGAACTGTATTCTTTTTACTAAAATCAAGCTTATAAATGGAGCTGGTTTAAATCCATGAGGAGGTAATTCATTTCGTGAATAGTTGAGTTGCATCCATGGAAAGTTGAATCAATTTTCAACATTCCATGGAGAGTTGAGTTTAATATGCAATTGTTTTGTATTCGAATAAAATTTTTTAATTTTATTTTATTTCGGCAATTGTGGTAATCATCTTATTAGATCGATCTTTCCAAGTTACGAATTGAGAACGTTGACTTTCATCCAAGTCAGGTCAATAAATCAATTCGGAGCACCTGTAATTCAACAAAAGAAATCAATTCAAATATGGTTGTAAACTAGTTCATGTTTCTAAAAAAAAGTCAAAGATTATTGCTACAATCGTGGTTTATTCCACCGGTTTAATTGGTATTCATATATGAACCATTTAGATAAGGGCTTAAGTATATAAATGGCGATGAGGACATATACATAGTATAATCGAAGCCGAGGAGGATCCCATCAACAAACCAACCATGAGGTAAGCATCAAGGGCCATATCAGGAATATGAAACTTGTGTGAGGAGTTCAACAAATTGGTGGAGAGTCTGATCACCAATTGATAAAACTCATAGAGCATGAAAAACTCAAAAAAAAATTACTTGATAGACACCAATTAGACCACAAGACGA